CGCAAGAATTACGATAGGCCAACGAAGTCACCGTTTTAACACAGTCTACCGTTCCCGGACAGACCGTCGTCACGGAGCTCTGCTGAGGACCCGCGCGTCGTAAGGAGCGTACGTCCCCCCGAAGATCAAAGCGCGAAATTATCGGAAGAACATTTTCACCGTAAACCTCTGCTGCAAACCGCAAACTCGGATGGAACGCGCTGGCGATCCCATGCACTTACTCCCGGTATGGTGAATGGAGTTACCGCTCGTTACATCAATTACGGCATCTTCTTTTACTCTCGAGAATATTGCGCGCGTCCTCGAAAAGTCGCCTCGGTATTGCGTCCCATTCGGAGCGAAAGGGAACTTGGCTCACCGCGAGCGAAAAGGTTCGGTGAATAATTGTTTGCCACGACGCGCTTATCTATTGTCTCCTCTCAGAAAGGATTTCGGATAACAAGACAACAAATATTCTTGACGTATTTTAACTATTTTATCACTACGTCATGTACACGGAGAGAATTTTCTCTCAAAGTTTATCCTGAAAATCACGCGATTGTGCAACAACGTGGTATGGTGAACAACTTTGGAAGTCTTTTTGAAATTTTACTAGGAAAAATGTATATCAAGTATAATTAGAGGAAAGTCTCATGTTATGAGACAAGCTTCTAATATGAGATAGCGGGGTTTCTGTCAAATTAATAGACGTCATCCATTGATTCCACCGTGAATTTATTGCCCTTGGAGCGAAATCCGTTAAGTAAAAAATTTATTTTCAGACCGTGTGTAATTATTTAATGCTGTAAAAAAATTTGTGATTGAATTGAGAATCTGTTAGCTTATATTAGAAATCCATAATAGAGGACTTTCCCTTACTAGTAAAGTGTGTGGTAGAATTTCAAATAAATTCTCATAAAATTCTTCGAAAATGCCGCGTTGTCCCACGATTACATGGTTTTCAGGATAAATTTTAAGAGAGCATTCTCTTCGTGTAGTAAAAAATAAAAGGATATTATTAAGTCGATAGTTCCCTGATTTACCGCATTGAAATATTTTCAAGAAACGTTTCACCGCTGTTCGTTGTTCCTACCAATATCAAGGTCTCAACGTTCTTTTGACGCTTTGAACTATGGCCTAGTTTTATATTGACCTAGTTTACATCGTGCACTTGATACGCGTATCAAATAGTGTATTTGAACTGATCAGCCAATGACCAATCGAATTTACTAGTTATTTGCTATTTGTTACTATTTGATACGCGTATCAAGTGCACGATGTAAACTAGGTCAATATGTGGGTCATTGAAATCGAGAAACTCGTCGACATGAAGTTTCCACCAACTTACTTTAATCAATAACCATGAAATTCGGACACACCCGTGCTGCCTCGACGGGCGCAACCGCGAGGATAACGACGAGTGACAACCTTTTATTCAGCAAGTTCACTCATATCTCCTGTAAAACTTCGTGACTTCGATTTTCCTTCCTCATTTATACAATGTTTTTTAACCATTGGCCGCGTTCTATTTTTCATTTTTAATTTATTTTTGCGCCGATAAGAGCCCCCGAGAACGAAACGTGCGCGTATGAGGCACTTATAACAGTTTTTAATTAAAGTTAATTTGTGCACTAATTACTGCGCTTGGCTTTTATCGCCTGCCATATCTGTATCGGATTTTATTCTAGAGAGCCTCTCGATCGTTATTGTTTAAAATATTCCCCTCTCAATAATAAACATGATTGTCGATACATCGATCTTTTTTTCTGACAGAAGCGTAACGGCATTGGATCCAGAAATTTTCGGTGGGTGACGCGTACAGTTTTCTTCTGGTCGCGAGGTAGCCCTTCGCGCTCCGTCCCACGTTCTAGCATTTACGCCGAATTCAATTTAGCAATTCCGCGAGAACGTTCCAAGCCGAACTTTTCTCAGCGAAAATCCACAGTCTTAATTGTAACTTCGCTCCGGATAGGTCTCCTTGCGAACTCGTTTACCGGCTTTTTCTATACGGCAATCGTAACTCCGGGGCCACGCGAGATAACAGGCCACGAGGGTCTAGCGTGAGATTAAAATATGTGAATGCGTGACTGTTGCATGCACGGGTGATTTTTGCACACGCGAGACAGTTGCACGAACGAAGCTCCGGGCGATAGTCTAATTTGAGTGCGAGGTGACTACACGATCTAGCGTCGCTCGCGGGACACGCGAGATGGCTTGCCATGCGGAACCACGGGAGGCTTGTTTCAGTCCTATCTCGATTTTCGACCTCTGTCCATTACGTTCCCTCGAAAATCATAGACGCGTACGTTATCTCGCCGCAAACGTGAGCGCAATATCTTTCTCGCGTCACGTTGGAAAACGTGTAACGACTGCCTTAGCACAAAGGAATTAGAGGAGCCCGTAAAACGGAGCCTGTTGGCATTATCCAACCAGTAACATCCCGTAAATACACATGGAATAAGTCATAATTGAATGAAGAGGGAGATACAGTTAATCTCAGAGAGGCATTACGTGACCGCGATTGTTTTTACAATTCCCGCAGCGTACGGGATCCTTTAACGTACGCTGCCTGGATCTTCAGCGTGAATCATGTGTCTTTTTCTCGCAAGTTATCGCAGGATTATGAAAAGGGGAGAGGCATTGTGCTTTACGCATGTTGGTGAGAACCGTCGCGCGTGTTAATCTTCCTTTTAATTAGAAGACGCAAATAAAAAATGAGCGCGGGCTCTCGCTGTACTCTACTTCACCGTTTTACGTGAGTTCTTACTCTTATTTTTGTTATTATTCTCGATTACTATCTTGCTTCCGCTTTTCCTGAAACGCTTGTCGCTCCGTCGCTTACGAAAATGCGTACTGATGTTGCTTCCAGAGTCCAAAGTTTGCTCGTTGATAAATTTCAACAGTATTTATTTCGTTAAAGTGAATACGATACGTCATGCTCAGCCGTAAGACAAAATACTTATTTTTATAAATGTAATTTCCGTGGGAAAATATACCTTAGAAAACCTTGAAAGTTTACTTTAGAAAAATAAGAAATATGAAAAGTAAACTTGGACACTTTAAACTTTTATTTAACATAAACTTACAAGAATTTAAAAGAAAACTTCAAGAATTGTGAAAAGTATGTAATATACCCAGCAAACACAGAGCATTGCAACAACATTGCGGTAATGTCATAATATTGCTGTAACGTTGCTACAATATTGCGTAATGTTTTATGTTTGCTGGGCAATTTGTAATACCGCGTGCGGTTTTCCTCCTACGAGAAAGTGCTATGCCGCGCGGCCCTCTAGCGGGAACTTTGACAGGCTTGGCTATCTACAAATTACTTTAAGTGTCTAAAATTTGTTAAGTAAACTTTTAACTTGTTTAAGTAAACTCTCTGGAAGATTAGTTTTAAAAACTTTAATTTCGTTTAAAGAAAATTTCCTTAAGGGTTACCGACAGAAACACGACAAATGTTACTAATTGTAAGTCACAAATAGGAAACACTCATATTGTTCTCGATATCGCCGAAAGAGAGGGGCTGTTGGGTGAATCTCTTTCTTTGCTATCTGATCAACGATTTTTTATCTCAACTTATATGTGAGATAGAAATAACAAATGAGAATTTTTAAATTTTGCCAGTAGACAATTAATAAGTGGACAACTTTTGACCCAACTGGCCTGAATTTATAGTATAATTTATAATAATAAATTCAGGCCAGTTGGGTCGAAAATTGTCCACTTATTATGAGATAGAAATCGTGGGATAGAAAATGGTCGACCAATCAGAAAATAAAGAAAGAGGCAGCGACTCACCCAACCAAAGTGTATGGTAAAATTAGAAAAAGCTGTCGTAAAATTCTTTGTAATGCCACGTTGTCCCACGATTACATGACTCTCAGGATAAGTTTGAAGAAACAAATTGTCTCAGAGTACATAGAGATATTTGACGGCGTGTGGTGTATGCACCGTGCACTGTGCACCGAGCTCGGGTCTGTAGGTCGCCAAGCCGAGATGACACTGCGTGGCTCAGTCATCCCCTGCGGGAGCACGCACGTTTGGGCGAGAGGCGGCGGCGGGGTTTTCTATCCTGAATACGAGATGAGAGACTCGAGAGCGCGACTACGCGGCGCGAGATGACGCGGAGCCGATAACATTGTTTCCCTTCGTGCGGCAGCATTTTATTCACGCTGGCGCGCGGCCTTATTACACGCGCGGTGCATCGACGGTGCATTAGCATAAGACCTCACAGAGCCGCCCGCGCGCTATCGATCCCGCTGGTCCTCGCGAGATTCTTCCGGCGTCTCCGCGCGTGAGAGAGGATACGCCCCGTTAAGCTTCTGTCCGTGTCCCGTGCACACCGTCCCGCTAAATTTCCAACCGTATCCCTTCCGATCCCCTCGACAATCGCTCGGGAACCGTTCTGTAATATCGGAGATTTAGCGTATCGCACGCCGCTCCTCCGTAAATTTCAGCGAGTAAATTTTGCTCCTCGCTCGTCGAAAGTGCAAAACGCGTGTGAGATAATTTTAAAAGTATATTTCAATTCATTCGTTTGAAAAATTGTTAAGCCAGAATTAAGATTGTGTCCAGTTATCGTCTTCTTCAAGTTATTTCCAAGATTGACAAACTATAATAATTAACAAGTTTAATTGAGGGACATTTCATTTTGTTTGTAATAGCTGTTAAACATACATTGAAAGTCAACAGACTATACGACGCGTGTTTGAACAAGTCACTTGTCATCGTTTCTGCGCTGAAACGAGTTGCATAATTTGCGATGAGGTGGCATACGCTGCGAATTACGTCGAAAAGTTTCACGATGTTTAGGCAGCGAAGAAGCTGCTGCCTAAAGTTTAAAGATCAAACGATGGCAGTTAAGGGCATGGCTTATGAATATGTCAGACGCGACTGATTACGCGCGAGTCTCTTCACGATCTAGCAATTTACGATCCGCCCAATTATATGCGCATTCTAATTGAAATATTAATAACACGGCGGTTAATTTTCATCACGATACTCTCTTCTTTTTCCAGGCACGAACAATGACCCGTTGGTTTTGGTGCTTGCTGTGCGTGATTTTACACCTTCGGGGCGCCCATTCTAAAGTCGGTAAGTAAAGTTAATCACCGCAATCAATTTCTCATTAGCGCTGAAAATCTCCTTTAACTTTTTACAATCTAAACTGTAACATTTCTCGCAAATTACCGGAAATCACGTATTTTGTTCTCAATTTCACCTAATTTAACACGAATTGTTATTAAGGGGATGCTGGAGTGATTCTGCACCTTTTGCACTTTTTGCATCTAGAACTGTTAATTCGTGAAAACATTTGTGTAATACAAAAATTAGAAGGCGCACAGCTCGAAAGTGTCCCACTATTCGGGCTGAATCTGAGAACAGCGTGGTATAATTGAAATTAAGTTCTAGGAGTCTAAGTCTTCCCCTCTTCTATTACCCTCACTAGTTATTAGACAAGGATGAGGCGATTACTCAACTGTCAGCTATCTCGTTCTAAAGTTTGCACGTGTTCTCAACACGGGAAAGGTAGGGAACGCGCAGTTCTATTCCTACTATCCGACATAGGGCCGCAAGGAGTCAATGACGTGACAGAAAATTGTTCCTAAAAGTTTCACAAGGATGTCGGTTCGAAGGGGCATCCCCTCGGCCGGCGCGGCGAAAGAGCGAGCGGAATGAAATGAAGTAACGACTCGCGCGTAAAAGTCAATCACGGTCGGATCGTGCGGCTTCCCACACGCGTAAATCTATCGCAGCTGATTGCCAATTACTTATGTCACGGTTGATGGTACCAGCTCTGTTTTATCGTTGTCGCCGGGCATAAACGCGCCGGCACGTGCGGAGGTGTGAGCTCTGCCCGGATGGCTTTTACTGTCGTACCGCGGAACGATCTACATCCTGCATATCGATACGTCGGATCGCGATCCCGCGTTGCTCACTGCTTCTCAACCGCGTCTGATTTACCGCCGTTACGTAGAGTGCGCGACGCAACCCTCGTTTCTCCCGTGTTCTTTTTTTCCCTTCGTACTTTACGATCGTAGAACGAAAGAGGAATATTCAGGCGTTGTGTCACGCGCCTCCGTCGTTAAGGAAATCACGAAAACCGCCTCCAATTTTTCGCGAAAACGGCTTTATGGAATGACTTATAATTTTTACAGTCGGCATCTGATTAACAGAGAAATAAAGTGGTTCTCCGCATTTCTCCCGATTAGAAAACAAGTTTCGCGTGGTAAATGAAACTATTCTTTTTTTTCAACATCGGGAGAAACGCGGAGAACCATCTTTGTTCATCTATTAATCAGACGTCGATTGTAAAACTTTCAAGTCTACGAAACCGTTTTCGAGAAAAATTGGAAGCTAAGGCTTTCATGACTTCTTTATCGGCGGAAGCGCGCGACACAACGCCGTAAATGCAAGTTTTACGGGTAAATCCATGGGGAATCGATAAACTCGGCCGTAAGCCACGTACGCCGATAGGGCGAAGGTGTGCGCGAGAGAGAATGGTGTGCGGACGGCTTAGCTGGATAAAACGTGCATTCCGACGCGATAATTCGCGTTGTCCGTAGAGATACAGGCGCGGTTCTCTCGCGGCGTTTTAAAGCGGCGGTTTAGAAGGTGAAATGAAGAAACGTGATTCATCGCGGAGCCGAAGGTGGTGTTTTACGCGCGTTTGGTAACGTGAAAAACATATACCCAGCAATTAGCGAGCGGCCGCTTCCTGCATTGTCCCGCACATCTGTTCGTGCGCGAACAATCGAGTCATTTTCCCCGGAAAATGGCGAGCTACGGCTTCTTACATCATCCGTGTAAAGCGGCCCCGCGTATATATCCCCGCGCTTTAAATATTATTTTACTCCAGACATTACGTTTTACCGTTCTACATTAACGCGAGCCATGTTAGCTACCATTTCAGCTTGCGCGTTACAGATTGCTCCCCTTTACGTAACGCGATACGTACGGCCTCGCGGAAATCCAGATGGTGCGAAACTTTTTCCAATAGACGCGCGCGCGCGCGGGCACACGCTAGAGTTCAATTTTCTCTGTAATACGGATTTGGCGTTGAAAGGGAGGAAAAGTTCCGGGTCTGTGTGACTCGCAGTATCGATTCCCACGACACCGAACTTGATCGTGCAATGTATGTATATTACACGGCTTTGCAGCCGGCTATCGTTAATACCACACCGACAGATTCCACCAGATGCTTTTATTTCAATGCGTATCACGTTATACGTGCGTGATTTGAGCGACCATGCTCGTTCAAGTTTTGACTAAACAATGCATTAACTGCAGCTCGAGAGCCAATAGAAGCCTGCGTGTGAGGAAACGCCGCTGACAAATTATGCACGGAGAGAATATTCTTTTTTTTATCCTGCAAATTATGTAATCGCAACGCGGTATTTTGAAGAATTTTATGAGAGTTTTTGGAAATTTACCATACATTTTACTAGTCCAGTAATTATACTTAGTATACATTTTACTGATAAAATGTATGATAAAATTTCAAAAACTCTCGTGAAATTAATTAAAATTAATAATTAAAGAAAAGAACTTCTCTCTCTCTCTCTCGTTTAAATCGCTTTTAAAAATTATAAATTTTAGTTTTATAACAATTTTTATGAATGTTCTTTACTTAAATAATTATTTTCATAAATATGCAAATATTGAAAATATTGAATACAAATATTGAATATTGAATAAGCGATCAGGTGATTTTTAGAATAAATTTTAAGAGAAAATTCTCTCCGCGTAGGTACGAGTTCATGAACGGTAAAGGCGTTTCTTTTTCATGCGATTGTGCCCGTTGGTGAACGGGTCACTTGGAGCCTTTGTAGAACAGCTAGGATATGTTGTTCGGATGGGAAATATGGGTCGCGATCGACACGATGTCTTTCGTTCTCCCGCAGTATGCACTTTCTAATACCGCGATCACTTTCCATGCGGGAAGAAATGATCGCGGGGTTCGCCGGTAGTGGCCCGCTGTCACGAAAGATTTACACGGAGGGGGGACTTTACGAGGGCTCGGCAGGGAATGTTGCGCGTGACTAGCCGGACGATGACGAATGTTCGTGTGTAAATTGCTTGATTTCGTAATGCGACGAGCGACGGCGTTCAGCGAGGAGATCGTGTGAGTTGTATTATCTATTCAAATACTGGATTTCGTTTCGATTAAACGACGTTGGTGTGTTCTTTATATTAATTTTATTGTCGTTCTCTTTAAAATTTGAAATAATTGTATTAAAAAATCGTGTCCGCTGACGCAAGCATTGACGAGCCCCGCGAGCTCCGTACGTGCGAAATATGTAAGTATTTTCTCAAGCACGATCGCGCACAATAAATCGATAAATAATAAGATTAAGATTAATTAAGGTTAATTCTAAGATGAAGTATTTGTCAGTTGCAGTTCATCTATTTTAAGACAATGGGTCTACGAGATATAGAACTTCCGCACGATAGTTCGTTGTTTTAATTTGACATGCATAAAGATTTATTTGCTGTAGTATACGTGTCTTAATAAAAAAAGTACTTTCTCACTTATCGATGCGTAGCAGCGGAGTTATCTATAACGTTGGTTACGATGATTTTATAATTTACAAACAATAATCATCTACATTAAACCAGTGTTCTAAATAATTATTTGAAAACTAATTATTACATATTTTGAATCGTTGTTCGTTTTCAGTATTTGGATATTTGGGAAAATAATTGTAGAATCTGGGAAAAAACCTTTATAAAAATTGTCATAGGACTAAACTTTATAATTTTGAAAAGCGATTTGAACGAGAGACAGAGAGAGAGAGAGAGAGAGAGAGAGAGAGTGTTTCTTTTATCTAATTATTAATTAATTTTAAATTATCGAAATAAAATAATCCATATAAATGAGGAAAACTATTAAGCAACTATTTGCACAGATAAAAAATAATACCGCTGGCCCTCGATACTTTTCCTAGGCCACCTCTATTATGAGATAGGAGTCTAATCACAAATCGCACTCATGTGCAACGCTGTAGTGAGCCGAAGATCCGAGCTCAAATCCGACCAGTATTGAGGATTTTATTTGATCGCCACCTCTGAAGAGGCAATGGCGAACCACCGGGAGTATCTTGGCCAGAGAACTCCTCTACAGAGCCGTCCGGAATCGACGTTAAATTGTAGGTTCCATGTATCTGACGCACACAGATACATGGAGACGGATCACGACGTGAAGCAAGACGATTGGAGAAAAGTGGTCAAAACAAGTGACCAAATCGATCAGCATGCAACACGTCGATGAAAACAAGTTTTATTCTCTTAGATTCGTCTGTGTGCAATTCTTATGTGCACGATGAGTCGGCAGATGGTTACGCATGTTCCAGAATTAAACTGTTACATTAATTTGTAGCCTATCCATTTCGAGACCAATAAATCCATGAAATTTTCTATCTTACATTAGTATAATATATTCACAGATTTCCATTAACTTCTCTTAAGTTAGGAGATAAATGCACTCGCACGATGCTCCTAATTGATTGACGATTTAATGAACCTAATGCCTTTCAAGTCTCGTTCTCTTATTTCCCCTCGTTGTATATTCACGAGGTAACATGTGCGAAAACGCGATCGACCGCAACATGCGGTAATTATACATACATGATAATTATCCGCGTATTTCGTTCGGCATGTAAATTACACGAAACAACACGATTTACGTACCATTCCGCGTTCTGCGCACGCGAAATGCGTAAACGATAGACAAATTTTACTTCGAAATCGAATAATCCGCGACGCTGAATTGTATTCAGATTCAGGCATTTTTGAAGAAATAGTCATCGTTCGATAAGCAAGTCACGACCGAAACACAACTGATTTAGAATTCGGATCCTCTACTCACTTTGATTCTCACGTCTGCTTCGCAACGAACAATCGGCGTCTCACACGATTTTACGAGACGCATGAATTTTAGCAATTAATCCGTCGCGTTAGCAAATAAACAGACGATTAACAAGGAATAAAGTATTTTTCTAAAAACTTATAGTATTCAGAATATCTATTCTCCGATGAACTGATTTAATAATCTGTGAGTGATTATCGTGTATCATCCACTTTGTTTCGTGGAT